TACGATTAGGGATTTAATTTAGTATGGGAAAGTGATTTAAAACGAAAAGGGAGTATGTTGAGAAGGTCATATTGAATTGTCTAAATACAATTTAAAATATTTAAAACATGAAGGTGGCAATACGTGGGTCAGTAGGAATACCAAATATCGAGTTGCATAGAATCAAGTTGGAAAATATGACTAACATTAATTTACGTTGGTCATGAATCCATAACCTCTATACAAGGTGAGATGAAAAACCTGTAACCAACTTCAGACTGCTGTCATTTCTAAGCCACTTGTCCGACAGTTTAGCTCATTATATTGTTTACAAGCGTACAAAAGCATTTTGGTTTTCGAGATAGAATTCAAGCGTGATAGTGTGATTTCTTTATATTTGGCTGGAAAACCACAAGTGGCTATCGTTAGAGCACTCCAGCATTTAAATGTAAATAAATCTTTTGTGTCTCGTACCATCGCTCGTTACCGTACTCACTGGTAGCGCAGCCGCAGCAGAAAACAGCAACATCAGCAGAAATGGTTCGAAAAGTAAAGAAGCGATTTGATCGAAACCCGTGTCGCAGTGGCCGAAAAATAGGTCGTGAGCTGCACATATCGCAATATTCCATTCGGCAAATATTTAAAAATAAGCTCGGGATAAAGCCATTTTAATTCCAAAAAGTGCAAGAACTTACACCGCAACAGAAAGAAAATAGACTCAAAAGATCTAAAGAGTTGCTCCGCTTGGCCGAAAGTGGTGAACTGCAGAATTTGGTTTTCTCCGATGAGAAAACATTCGTTGTCCAGTAGTTTGTAAACAAACAAAATGATCGTGTTTACATTCCAAAGAGGTTAGCTGAAAATGTGCACCTTGGTTTGGACACCAGAACTCAAGCGCCGGCCATGGTGATGATGTGTGCCGCCATAACAGCCGATGGTCGCTCTCCGCTCGTATTAATCGACCGTGGCATTGGAATAAATGCTGAATATAATCGCAAAAATATTCTGGACGGTGTATTAAAGCCTTGGCCACGTAAACATTTTGGCCGCAGACCTTGGACATTCCAACAGGACTCAGCACCATCGCACTCAGCACGCGCCACCCAAGAATAGTTAAAAATCCAATCCGTTGGACTATTGTGTCTGGAGTATTTTGGAAAGCAAGGTTGGCACTAAAAAATACAAAAGTGTCGATCACCTTAAGCAAGCGCTTCGTCGGGAATGGACCAAAATACCGCAAAGCAACATTCGGGTAGCGTGTGACGGTTTCATTGGCCGTTTGAAGGCCATAATTTGTGCCAAGGTGACCAATTCGAACAAATCCAAATTTATTCTAAAATTCTATGCTATTTCCGACATTTTTTGCTTTCATTGAATAAAATTAAAAATATCTAAAAATTATGGCGTTTGACTTTGCTGCAGTTTTTTATCTCACCCTGTATGTAACCAGGGCCGAAATTCATCTCATCAAAATAAAGGTTTAAGACCCTAGGTGTCCTTGAACGAGAGTCCATCTAGCAATGTCCAAATTCCACATCATCCAAATTTCATACGTCGTAATATTTTTATCAATTTAAGATCGAGTTCCGAGATGGACAAAACAGGTCCACTTCTGTTGAAGATCCTAAAGAAATTGATTTAATTTATAACCAGTAAGGGAAGGTCAAAAGTCAGGCGGTGCCGACTATTTGATACCCTACACCACTTGCGTATTTAGTAGATCTTCCGTAACAAAAAAAATATATTGGGAATTTATGTGAAGTAGAATTAGAATTATTGAATTATAGAATTATTTGATTGCGTATCGTTAGAGTAGTCACAATTTGGGAACTACATCCAACTCGATCCATATCGAATTTCAACAAATTTGACGGAGGCGTTTGTACCTCTATTACCAAATAACATTGCATGGTGCATGATATTACTTCGATAAAAATTTATTAACAAATATTTATTTGAGATATAGATATACCGGACCGATTTTCTCGAAATGGAAAAATTCGGTACAATATGAAAAATTCTATACAATTTGGGCTGATATACATCTTCACAAAGTCGGATGAAGATGTATATCGAAGGTATATAAAAGTCTGAACCGATCACGATAAACTTTGGCAGAGGTATTTCGAGCTGTTTCTGATGTCCGGTATCAAATATCTTTGTTGTGAATAGCACATAATACATGTGATGGACTTAAAACCCCAAATCGGATGAAACATATATTTGGTAGCTATAGCTATATTTGATCAGATTATCACCAAATCTGAAGTACTTGTTTCTAGGATGAATTCAGTCGGAATTACCAGATTCAGTGCATTTGGGCTGATCCATTAGTCATTTGGTGCACAATAAACGTGAAATCGGATTAAGGATATATGTGGGACCTTATCCCAATCTGATCCGATCTCGATAACATTTGACAAAGGTATTTGTGGGCTGTATCTGATATCTGGTACTAAATATTATTCTTGTGGAGTGCATATAACTATTGTGACGAACTTAAACACCAAATCGGCTGAATTATATATATATATATATATATATATATATATATATATATATATATATATTATTGTACTTGCTGCTATTGCTTGGAAGATCTCATTTCAATCGGATAATAAATGCGACCTGCATTTTGTTCACTAAAGTACATAGACAGACTGACGGACGGACAGACGGACTGTCATGCGTAAATCGACTCATAAAGTGATTCTATGAAGACATTAAATTATTTTCATAAATTCTGAAGCTATGTGTTGACTAAATGAAAACGAAATTAAAATCATATATCAATAAGAATCAGTAGTATAGACCAGTAAAAAAAAAGAGATATAAAACTGGTGCAAAATTACAAATATTGCCACAAAAAAATTAATTTTGGCATGAAGCTCAATCCCAATAAATTCCATGTCAAAGATCACCATTTTTAGTTCAACGACATTTTCCCGAAAACTGTGAGTTTTACACCACAAGGTGGTCAGGGTATTATGTCTTTGTGCATTTATTTGTAACAGGCAAAAGGAAAAGAGATAGACCCATAGTTTCTTTTGATGATCTGCATAGAATCACATTCTGAGTTGATTTATGCATGTCCGTCCGTCAGATGAAATTTTGCACAAATCATTTGTTTAGACCAAGGACGAACCCTACAGAAATTTGAGATAATCGGTAAAAATTTAGATATAGCTTCCATATATATCTTCGTCCGATTTGCCTTTATGCCAAATTTAATCGAAATCGGTTCAGATATAGCTATAGCTCCCATATATATTCTTCATTCGATTTGTTATTTTTGTCCTCCGCTGCCGTAATATGCACTCTGTAACAAAAATATTTGGGGAAATTCATCAAATACAGCTCAGAAATACACTTGCTAAATTTTATCGAGATCGGTTCAGATTTGGATATATAGTTCCCATATATAACTTCGTCTGATTTTCCTTTTATTGCGCACAAAACGTTTAAAATTTGCCCAAATGGGATGAAATTTGGCACTTACGACCGAATTGAGTCTAAAAGCCAGCTTGCTAAATTTGGTGAAGATCGGTCAGATATAGCTGTAGCTCCCATATACACTGTTCTTCCGATTTGTAATATTTATTAAACACAGCCATAATATGCACTCCGTAAAAACGATATTCATATTGCAAAATTTTAGTTCAGAGTTGGATACAGCTCCCATATATATCAAATGGGCAATACAAGTCCGAATTTAAATGATACAAATGCTTCGGCATATTTAGTCATGTGAACTTTAAATTATAATTATAAACATAGCGTGTATGATTGAATTCTCCCATAAAAACTTTTAATTGTTATGTGGAGCTCTACTAAATTAGCAAAGTTGTGTAGGGTATCATAAAGTAGGGACTTGAAATATTTAAAAAAAAATGTTCGTCGATAAATACCTCTCATTGTCATAGGCTGCAGTACCGATTCTGAACTTTTAATACGAAATTTGAAACAATTCCGGTGAATAATGCCACTAAAATCATTAATATAACGAATATAGGGAGGTACCGTTATTTGGGGGGATATACGATATCATGGACCTATGTAGGCAATTCTCTTCACTCCTCCTGCTGTGGATTTTCAGACAATTCCATTGAAAAATACCGAATATCGGGGGTACCTTATATGGGGGCTATACGATATCGTGGACAGATATAGCCCATCTTCTGCCTGCAGACAAAATATTGATCTGTGCAAAATTGAAGCTTCCCATTTTAATTCGTTTTGACTCTAGCGTGATTACAACAGACGGACGGACGGACAGCCCTAAATCGTCTTCGATTTTTATTCCGATGTATCCGTTATATAAAGATACCCCCTTAAAATATTTTTTAATGTTCCCTTATAAATTATAGTTGGCATATACAAACATAGGTACGAACTTTTTAAAAATGCTTGTCCACACCCCAACACTAATCTACTCCTCCTACGAAAACCAACCAAATCCCACACGTCCATCATCATCAATTGTCCATAAACTTTGTTAACCACTGCTGTAACTCCACTGACGATTACACATTACAGTGCCAAGTAAAGTGTTTAATTATTGATTCTCCTCTTTACATCTCTTTTTTTGCATGCTGATGCTGTGATCCTTACAACTTGGGCTGCTCGTCTTGGATACTAAACAACGCAACTGCAAATGACACTATCTGCAACGGCAACATCAAATCGAAAAATTTCGAAACAAAAACGAAAACAACAATAACAACAACATTATCTCTACGACACTGGACTCAACAACTATCCATTCCACTTTACCGCAATCCGACGACATTAACTGATGCCTTCATTAAACGGATACTCCCTTAACTGGTGCTGTACTGCTGCTGCTGCTGTTCTGGCTTCTGCTGATGATGGCTGTGGCAACATCAACTGGTGTTGTCTTGATGTCAATGAAAATTCTCCTTTAACCTGAACATCATCAACTACTGCCACTTCTTCATTTTTGTTTTCTTGTCTACTGAACTGTTTGCTTTTTTTGCCACTGTAATTTGGAAAATATCAAGGATTCGATGCTGCAAAACATTGGCTGGCTGTTAGTTCGATACTTTTAATAATCGGTGCTGCAAGCGTTGCAGTGCCATTGGCTTTAAGAGTGGCTGCAAGTAAGTAAATCAATTATGTTTTTATAAATTTCGAAAAAGTTTTTTCTTTTGTTTTTTTTTTTTTTTTTCAATATTTTCATATATTAGTTTTTATGGAGGTCAATCTGGGAGAAAACCCTAAAAGGATGACAGTGTAACGAAAAAAACCTAAACTTGCAAAATAAATACAAATTCTAACAAGAGAAAGAGAAAATAAGGCAGGGAACAAAAGTCGAGCGGACCCCTAGACCACTTGGCGTGTTAGGCCCGACGACCCATAACAAATATACTTTTTAATACATAGAAGCAAAATATTAATGCTATAGAGTACATAGGATGAGTCTCGAAAGGTTTATATAAAACATCGGATCTAACATTCATATCAGCTATAACTATGTCCACCAATTTCGAAAGCGTACTATTTTTCAAAAGAAGATCGATATGAAAAGTGCGCCCTACCACACAAGTTAACATTTATTCAAAAAAGTTATCTCGCTCCCAAAAGGTGAAGTGAGTATCCGATTTTCTTCAGTCTTACTATATATTGCTCCATCTGGAACGTCCCCCAGAAAAATTCGAAATGTTTAAAAAAAAAAAAAAAAAAAACACACATTTAGTGAGTTCTCGCATTATTTTCTCAAGGAGTGAAGTGTTCCACTTCATCCTAAACTGAAAAATATTTATACCCTACACCACATAGTGGTAAGGTGATTATGTCTTTGTGCATCTGTTTGTAACAGAGAGAAGGAATGGAGTTACTTTTGAGAATCTTCAGAGGATCACTTTCTGAATTGATTTATGTATGTCAGTCCGTCCATGTATTTTTGTAAACAAAATTATTATCCGATTGAGATGAAATTTTCCAAACAATATTTGTTTGGCCCAAGGACGAACCCTATTGAAATTGGTGATAATCGGCTCAGATTTAGATATAACTCCACGTATATCTTCAATCGATTTCGGGTTAATTGTGCATCAAATGGCCAATATAAGTCCAAATGTCCTATAATTTTGGTACGTCCCACCGAATTCAGTGTTGATATATGGTATGATCTACTTCAAATAATTTTTTTTGTTACGGGAGCTCTTCTAAATACAGGGTTGCCCATATTCGACGGACCCATTTGGCAACGCCATAACTTTTGACAGAGATGTCACATCGCTTAATGATATACCGCGTTTGAAGCGTCAGTCCAAGCAGATTTTTACCATTAACAATACACGCCTCGCGAGCCCTCTGAAATAGTTGAAATTTACAAGAAGTCAATTGTGAAAACTCAATGTGCTTTTAAAACATTAAAAAATGTGAGAAGTGCTCCTTCTAAGAACACCATTAAGAGTTTATACGAAAAATTTTCGACTGGTAAGGCTCTTTCTAATCCGAAGAGGCCATATAAAAGTCGACCAAGGTGATCGGCAGAGAATATCGCTGTCGTACGAGCCAGTGTTGAGAGGTCCCCAAGAACATCTCAAAAACGCCGTTCTCAGCAGTTGGGCATGGCTCGGTCCACTTTACAACAGATTATAGATTTGCATTTGTTCCCGTACAAAATTCAATTGACGCAAAGAATGTTGCCTGCGGACAAGCCTCGTCGATTGGCATGGGTCCATGGGTTCGTCGAATATGGGCAACCCTGTATGCATAGTGGTGTAGGGTATTAAATAGTCGGTCCACCAGATTTTTCACTTTTCCTTTCTGGTTTTATGTTCAAAATTCAAAGATATTCAATCATCTTTTACCTATTTTATGAGAGCAATTGTTAATTAAAATATTAAGCTTTTGTTGGGAGGTACGATAAGGAATGAGCCAATAAATTCTAAATTCACATCAGATCTATATTTGGTAAAAGAATTTAGATATACCAAGCTTGAAAAGAATCGCAGACTTTGTTCGCAAATTTAAATATTTCAAATTGTGATACTTTACCAGAAGAGGTAGGCAGATATCTACCATCTTCACACCAGCTCTAGTGTGAGATGTATAAAGCTTGAAGATAATCGGAAGCCTCTTTCGAAATTTATAAGCGTTTTGGTTATTCGAAATGTTGAAAGTACCAGAAGGACTGGTTCGACACATCCCATATTTACAGCTGATCTATGATGTTAGCAGATATATGTATAGAGACGTGCGAGACATATATATATTGATCCTATTTGACGTTTATTGTGCACCTAGTAGTTAATATCAGCCCAGATAGAATGGATTTTGTCACATATGACCTAATTCAGCAAAGAAGCAAAGGTATAACAATAGGTGAAAATCGATTTAGATATAGCTATAGCTCCCATCTACAGGGTGAGATGAAACCTCTGCAACCAACTTCAAGCTGCTGTCATTTCTAAGCCACTCGTCCGACAGCTGTTAAAATTATTCCAGTGACAGCTCATTATATTGTTTACAAGCATACAAAAGCATTTTGGTGGGAATCTTCCAGAAAAAAGTTATTCGCGATGGAATTCAAGCGTGATTTCTTTATAGTTGGCTGGCAAAACGCAAGTGGCTATCGTTAGAGCACTCCAGCATTTAAATTTGAATAAATCTTTTGTGTCTCGTACCATCGCTTGTTACCGTGATACTGGTAGCGTAGCCCGACGTCACGGAATCGGACGGAAGAAAACAGCAACATCAGCAGAATTGGTTCGAAAAGTAAAGAAGCGACTTGATCGAAACCCTCGTCGCAGTGGCCGAAAAATGGATCGTGAGTAGAACAGAACATATCGCAATATTCCATTGGGCAAATATTGAAAAATGAGCTCGGGGTTAAGTCATTGAAATTCCAAAAAGAGCAAGAACTTGCACCGCAACAGAAAGAAATTAGACTCAAAAGGGCTAAAGAGTTGCTTCGCTCCGGCCATGGTGATGGTGTGGGCCGCCATAACAGCCGATGGTCGCTCTCCGCTCGTATTAATCGACCGTGGCAGCAGAATAGACGCCGAATATTGTCGCGAAAATATTCTGGAGGGTGTATTAAAGCTTTGTGCACGCAAGCATCTTTACCGCAGACCTTGGACATTCCAACAGGACTCAGTACCATCGCACTCAGCACGCGTCACCCTAGAATGGTTACAAAATGAGGTTTCTCGCTTCATTTTCGGTGCACAATGACCACCAAAATCTACGGATCCAATCCGTTTGACTATTGTGTCTGGGGTATTTTGGAAAGCAAGGTTGGCACTAAAAAATACCAATTCTCGATCACCTCAATCATGTGCTTCGCCGGGATTGGGCCAAAATACCACAGAGCAACATTCGGGCAGCGTATGAAGGTTTTATTGGCCGTTTGAAGGACATAATTCATGCCAAAGGTGACCAGTTCGAACAAATCTAAACTTATTCTAAAATTTGATGCTATTTCCGACATTTTTTGCTTTCATTCAATTAAATTAAAAAAATAATGTAAAAATTATGGCGTTTGCCTTTGTTGCAGTTTTTTATCTCACCCTGTATATTCCATTCGATTTGGTGTTTAAGTCCCCCACAATCGTAATATGCACTCCACAAAAATGATATTTAGTGCCATCTATCGGATACAGCTCAGAAATACCTCTGCCAAATTTTATCGAGATCATTTCAGATTTGGATCAGAGAGAGATTACCAAATTTAGCCTTGAATCATTGCCAATATTTCAACACGTGACTACTAAAATTTGTTGTGGTGATGGGTATCATAAAATCGGCGCCGCCTGCCTATTTTCTTTCCTTAATGGTTTTAAGTCTACTTTCATAATTTTGGATTTCCCCTGTAATTATTTTTTGTTAGCGTGCCCGTTGCATTTATTGACCAAATTCTTGGAAATATATTTTTAACCAGCATTTGGGTATGTAAACATTTTTACCCACCGGACATTTTCATACCTTCCACATGCTATTCAATGCTATAGGAATTGAAGTTTGGCATGTGATATAGGTATTCAATCGTCTCCCAATAATACTTTGCATCTACTTTTAACTTTGCCCCGTTCCACTGTTCCGTACACACAAAAAACCCCATGTAAAATTCATTATTCAACACATGTCAATATTAAAAGCGCTGCATGTGACATTTTCTTTAATTGAAGGAAATCCACTTTCAACCTTTCCATGGCAATGGGAGGGACATACATGCTCCCATGTTATTCTATTTTTTTATTATTTTATTTTTTCTATGGCAATGGGAGGGACATTCATGCTCCCTTGTTATTTTATTTTTTATTATTTTTTATTTTCATCTCATTTAATTGCTAGGGTTTTAATCCGTATCTAGCATTTCTTTTTTTTCTATTTATTTGCCTCTTCTCATACATCTATTATCGTTTTTTGTCTTTTGTTTACTTTTAGGTGCTCCATTCGAAGAACGTCTACGTGTTGCCCTACAACTATTAGATCAAGTGCCTTTAATTGATGGGCATAACGACCTACCCTGGAATATACGAAAGTTCCTGCACAATAAACTGAATGACTTTAAGTAAGTGTTCCTGCTGTTGTGCTGCTGTTGCTGCCAGTGGCTGCTGCAGTTGTTTGTTTTCCTTGCTATGTGTTTTTATTTTATTTTTCTTTCATCTTTTATTTTTAAGGATGCCTAAAAAATCCAAGCAACACATCTTTCTGGCACTTTCTACTTAACTTGACTCTCTTTCTATCATTGATTGATTGTTGTAGCAGTAGTGGTGCTGGAAGTTGTTGTTGTTGTTGTTGTCTTGAGTTACTTTTCCCTCAACTTCTTTGGTTGTTCTTTAATTTTCTTTCGTTTTTTGTGTTGTGCAGTTTTCTTAACTCTCAGTGGTTTGCTGTTCATTTTACAAATTGTTTTGTTTTCTTATGGCTAGGTTAGGCTGCTGCTGCAGCTGCCGGTGCTCTTTTACCAGATAGCCTGGCCAGGCCTGGCAGCTAGCAAAAGTTTTTAATAAGCAACTTTAGTGTATGCGGTGTTTTGTCTTAATCTCAACTTTTTCTTGTTTTCTCCCTTCCCTTCTTTTTATAGCTTTAATGAAGATCTCAGAGAAGTTGCGCCCTGGAAACGCAGCCACTGGAGCCACACCGATTTGATACGACTGAAAAAGGGCAAAGTATCGGCCCAGGTAAGTTTCTACTGCTATTACTGCTGCTCAATATTATTGCGTTCTTTTTCTGCTTTGCTTTTGTTTTCGATTGAATCTGCATTGGTTCGGTCGAGTAATAAATTACCTCATCAATAATGACTATAAATTAAGGACAGATTTTTGCCAACTACTTGAAGTAATTACTTAGGCAAAGTTTTGTGCGAGCACGAATAAGAAGAACAAAAAGATAAAGTGTTGCCCTCATTACCGAGCACATAATACGTTTAAGAGATTAAAGGGATAATATGGAAAAATGGGAATAGGTTAAAATTATATTTAAATTATGGGACTTTAGTAAAAATAAGATTTAAAAATGTAATGTCATATTTTAAATATGAAACATTGACAACTTTAGAAAATGAGGAAACGGAAATGGATATACCGCGTGGCTAAATAACAAAAAGTATTATAAGTGTATTATGTCTTTGTGCATTGAGTATCATATAGTCGTCCCGCCCGACATTAGGCCTTTTCTTACTATTTCTAATTGATGAAGATGCAGGTGTGAAAAGTCTCAAACAGAGAGTACTGAAATTGGGACAATGTTAATGAGAAGATGTTTTCAAAACGCTTAGAAACCATCAAGTGGGTTGTGGTACGCTCACATGGGGCTCCATCGAATCATTAGTGTCGTGCTTTAAAGCTTCAGATGCACTTTTTTAATTTTTGCCCTAAATTTCGAAGCATTCAATTATTTATTGAATAGTTGAAAACTTATAAAAATCATTTAACATTGGCCAGGCCGAAATACTAGCATTCCAAATTTTGAAGAATTTAATAAAGAAGAATTCCCAAAAAATTCCGTCGAAAAATACCGCTTAAAGAAATACCGTTATACAGGGGCTATACGAGGATGTGGACCTGCATATGCAAATTTTCATAGACTGTAGTAGCCATTTCGAACTTTAAAAACGAAATTTGAAACAGTTCCGATAAAAAATGTCCGAAATGTACCGAAAATCCTATCATAATTCGTTTTGAATTTTAAATACTTTTTTAGGTCTAAAATTATTATTTCGATGAGTAACAAACGAAATGACGAACTTAATATACCCTTCGTACTATGTATGGTGGAGGGTGGCTAAAATTATAAAAATAGCTATAGGATGGGGGCTTTTGAAAAGAAATTGTTCTAAAATAGGAATAGAACTCTTTAGGAAATCTAAATACCGAATTTTAAGAAATTCCGTTAGAAAATGGGGCACAAAGTCATCAAACTACCGAATATCTGCTGCAGGAGAAATGGCCTATTAGAAGCTAAGATCGAGTTCGGAGATGGGCAATACCGATCTACTCCAGCTGGTAAATGGTCGAAATATTAAAAAAACTGCACAGAAACAGAATGGATTTTCCTCTAACTTTGCAAATCCTAATATTTGCATCAGTGCTACGTCAGGTGCGAAAATGGACAATATTGGTCAACTCCATCAAGTAACTCCCCCACAAAGAATTAACACTTTGAATAATTAAAAATCTATTATAATGTGATGAAAGAGCCAGATTATTTTCAAATTAACCACATCACAATATTTTTATTAACCCAATGTCTGGTGCGAAAAAAAAAAAAACTTTAAGAAATGTACAATTCAAAATTGTAAGTGCAATTGAAAAAACCGCATGCGATAAAAATAAGACAAAAAATTGAAAAAACAAAACAAAAAATATTCACTTTTTTTATTGGCATATTATTACGCGATTTTATAAGATTTTGTTGTTTTCTGACAAGAGACCATTCCGAATTGATGGAAATTGTGAAAATCAGTCTAGCGGTTCTATACTTATAAGCAGAATAACTAAGATCAATTTATTTTACATATATATATTGTATCTATCTTGCTATATATCCTATATATTGGCTTGGCAATCAGCATCACTGTAATGGTCAGAAGTGACATTTTAATGCATTTTTGATTAGCCGAGATTAAAAAAATATTCGCAGTTGAGTGGAAATTTTCGTATATTTTTATACCCTACACCACAAGGTGGTCAGGGTATTATATCATTGTGCATTTGTTTGTAACAGGCAAAAGGAAACGGGATAGACCCATAGTTCCTTTTGATGATCTGCTTAGAATCACTTTCTGAGTTGATTTATGCATGTCAGTCCGTCCGTCCTTCCGTCCGTCCGTCCGTCTGTCCATGTATTCTTGTGAACAAAATGCAGGTCGGATTTATTATTCGATTGAGATGAAATTTTCCAAACAACATTTGTTTGGCGCAAGGACGAACCCTATTGAAATTGGAGATAATCGGTAAAAATTTAGATATAGCTCCCATATATATCTTCGTCCGATTTGCCTTTTATTGTGCACCAAACGTGTAATATCAGCCCGAATAGTATGGAGTTTTGCACATACAACTAAATTAGGTCTGAAAATAAGTATGCCAAATTTGATCTAAATCGGTTCAGATATAGCTATAGCTCCCATATATATTGTTCATCCGATTTGTTATTTTTGTCCTCCGTAGCCGTAATATGCACTCTGTAACAACAATATTTGTGAAAATATATCTAATGCAGCTCAGAAATACCTTTGCTAAATTTAATCGAGATCGGTTCAGATTTCGATATAGTTCCCATATATAACTTCTTCCGATTTACCTTTTATTGTGCACTAAACGAATTGAGTCTAGAAGGTAGTATGCCAAATTTGCTGAAGATCGGTTCAGATATAGCTATAGCGCCCATTTATATTGTTCATCCAATTTGTTGTATATGTTACCCACAGCCGTAGTATGCACTCCGTAACAACGATATTCCGGGAAATATATCAAATACAGCTCAGAAATATCTTTGCCAAATTTTATCGAGATCGGTTCAGATTTGGATTTAGCTCCCATATATATCTTTATCTGATTTCAATTTAATTTTGCACCAAATGGGCAATACAAGTCCGAATTTAAAAGATACAAATTCTTCGGCATATTTAGTTCTTTGAATTTTAAATTATAATTATAATCATAGGGTGTATGATTGAATTCTCTCATAAAAACTTTTAATTGTTATGTGGAGCTCAGCTAAATAAGCAAAGTGGTGTAGGATATCATAAAATCGGCCCGCCCGACTTTAGGACATTCTTTACTGGTTTGTACATAAAAGTTATCGTTTATTTTATCCAAATTGGTAAGCTTCTACTCAGCCCTTAACTCCATGCAAAATTCCGCGCTGATTGGTCTATAATTGTGGCCTATGGAGCAAAAAAAATCAGGATTTTTTTTTTTTTTTTTTTTGTTGCGATCATCTCCAAAAACAATAGGCTTCTATTCTGACCCTAACTCCACCTCCATTTTTAATTCCGTGAGGATCGGGCCATAATTGCTACCTGTAGCGTGATTAAAAATTAACATGGTCAGACGGACGGACGGACATACATGGCTAGATCGACTCAGCTCGGCGAGATAGGAAGATCCATATATAGGTTCCTATGTGGGAGACCAATATTTCGAGGTGTTACATACTATTTGGGCCAATCAAATTTATAATAGCCCCAACACATAGTGTTGTATGGTATAAAATTATGGGAATAATTGTTTTGAGGCTTACAAGTAATGTTATGGGTATATTGTTGTCATTATATTTTGAACTACTGGTAATACATAGATTATATAAATATGTCGTATATAGTAACTGTTACAATGTCATATACGCCTACCAAATTCTTAGAATCTAGCCGTATGAATAGTAAATGACTGGAAATACATTTCTCCTTCCATTTAGACTTTCGTTATACCAAGAACAATAATATTGTCATGATTTAAACAAAGATCACAAAATTCCATAGCCAAGTTTTATGACCCTTTCTTTTTGCCTTTTTGCCCCTCCCACACATTCCCATAACTCATCTAAAAAAAACAGTGTTCAACAATCGTTCCCATGTTATTGATTTTTCTACAGCAATTTTTATGTGCTCCTTAGCAATTTAGATAAAGGGCCGGAAAGAAATTTATTGATGATGTGGAAAAAAGATTAATAATAATTTAGCAAAGATAATGAGAGTAGACACATACACGTTTTATTGCATTCGAGATTGGAATCCAATTTTTTTCCGTTCGTTTTGTTTTGTTCAACCCTTTTGTGTGTGTGTGCAAAAAGGATACAACCAATATATATATATGTGTGTGTGTGATGGCATCGCATGGTAGTAGACATTCAATTTAAGTACCATAACTGCTAACTAAGCCAATATCCATTAAAATATACCCAACCGTACCCAAACCACAAAATTCCAATTAAACATAAATTCCAATTTGAAACAATACACAACAGCAATGGGAACTTTCTAATCTCGGCAACATTTTAACTGGTCACATGAGCAGTCACAAAATCCGGATGCATGTACGGCTGCTTTCTCTGTCTGCCGGCTGTGTTGTGGTGTATGTGTGTGTGTGTGCGTTTGTATCACTACTTATGAGTATCATCTCTGTGTCGGAAAATACAATTGACTCTCGGCGTTATCTGATGTCGCAACGTATGGCCTGTCAGAGGGTTACAACAAAAGCCACCAAGTCCTTAACAATGGACACACAAATAAATTCAACCGACACTTTACAAGTGCTCTCTAATCAGGGTTACCACTTACCCAGGCCCAGGCCACAGAACTGAACAATGCGCCCCCTGCTTTAAAGAACAACCGGAATGGCCGGAACTCTATGCACCGAGAATTGAAAGGCATAGACAGAGAAACAAAACTGTTTTTCACAGATATGAATCTCAAATTAAACGGCTACCTCATTTGTATGTATGAGTATGTTGCAACTTTCCTTTTGTTGTGTGGGGACATGTGAGCGTGTGCGTATGTATGTACTGGCGGAAGAACAAGAAGAGTCCTTCAAAAAATATTAACAAAGTACTGTTCATTACTTTTAATTACACATATTCCCACATACATGGAAGCCAAAACGCAAAAACGACTTGCACCCACACACACACACGCACATAAATGTGCTGGCGCACGGCCATCATCACTTGCATTCACTTC